CTACTCTTCAAAAATATATAGACCCTGCCTCTTTACCTTAAAATATAACAAGCATAAAAACCAAAATAAAAATGGGGTCGAAACTTATGAAACACCCTTTATGTACGTCTGCACTTAACTTTGTTTCATAAGGAATGAACTAAACTTTACCTGTATGATATATATATATATATATATACATATGAAGAACGAGGAGAATAATAGAGACCAATTGAAGATCAAAAGAAGATGAAAGAATAGCGGATTTCGTCTCTTTTGAGCTCGGAATATGAAATGAATCCGGTGGTCACAGTTGTTTTGAGCCCGAATTGCGAGAGATTGCACTGATATCGCATAGAGGATAAAATTAATCTTCAACATAGATATTTCCATTGCGTAATTTGTAGATTAAGTATTGTTGGAATATCGTGAACCTTTTTTATTGAATTTCTTCATTTTTTCACTATGGCCAAACGAATATGGAATTTTGTTGATAAATTTTTGAATGAAAATTATTTGCAATTGTATCTTGCACAAAATAAGGTATGTCTGTGAGAGAATATAGATTTTTATGGTATAGCTTGAAAGATTTTTCTGTTCCGATTTCATTCTTCTTTTGAATCCTAATTATATTTCTGGAGATGCCAAACATATTTTTGATAACTTTATGGTTATGACTTCCTGTATGTGGTTATAATGTGAACCTATTACTCGAAACTTTCTAGTAGAGACATTGGTTCATGTGATCATCCTTCATTGATATAGCTTTTACCACTATCATAACCAACATGTAAATACTGAGGAATAATCTTTGGCACTCTCTGTTGACTTAATGCACCAGAAACGATACAATGCGTGTTTATTTCAAATACAAATGAAAAAAAAACTTTAGTAGATAATGCCTTTGATTGCATGTTCATCTTTCACGTGTTTCCATTCCTCCTCGGCAAACCGAATATCATACAATCCCTTAAAAGAAAAAAAAACATATTGTCGTGCATAGATAAGAAAGACAGAAAACGAAGCAATATATACTTGATGAAGAGCCAAACCAGCATCTTGCACCGGTAAAATCCAAGCATCTTCGTCTTCCGATTCATTGTGATGCGAATGCCACATACCGAGTGGAGTTGCAAATGAACCACCTGATTCCCAATCGAGTCGTGTCGGAGATCGAATCGAACCGTCTTCATTCAGCTCGTCTCCAATAAGTGTATAGCATTTTCCCTTGGGTGCATAGGTTACCAAGTCTAATGCAACAGCATTGTGACTTTTCAACAAAGAAAAAAAAATGAGTTGTTTATCACTCTTCAACTTGATTTTTGTTTCAAATGAATAACTCGCATTTACGAAACAAATTACCGATGAGGTTTTTGCATCGAATTGGCCGGTAATACATTCATCAATGCCCACAATGTATGCGTCAAAGTTTTTGTTTCGCTCGTTGCCGGATTTCCAATTAGTGTACCTAATCGATTGGCATGCTCACTACCCGGCTTTTCTCGGATACTTTCGACTTTTTCTCGTAAGACTTTTGCTCGGAAGATAGTTGTTGTAAATGCTTTTTCGCTAGGCAACACTCGAAGATATTTGAGAAGAGGCCCATCATGCACGTAATAGATGGCTGTATCGTCCTGTGCAAAATGCTCAAGTGGCTGAGTTTGATAAGGAACGACCAATAAATCCCCTGTCGACCAATTTATTTGACCACCCTCGACAAGTTTAGTTGTGCCACGACCACGGATTACGTACAAACAA